AATTATACAAAAAGGAGGGGCTTTCTTACCAATAATATTTGGTGCAACACTGAGTGGATTAGTGAGTAGACTAGCCAGTTAACATGGAAAATGCAAAGAAAATGATACTTATCGAACCTGGATTGATTGAAAAATTAAAACAAGAAAATAAGGTTAATAGTAATTTATCTCGCTTAGATATTGAAATGCAAAATATTATGAGTATTAAGATGGAAGACCGAAAGAAATGGATGTTATATTTACAAACACTGCAAAGATACCTTCATTTTACCGAAGAGGATCGTCAACCACTCAGATTACCAATTTATTCTGATACATCTAATGAAGATTCAAATGAATCTAAAATTGGTTTTAAAAATAAAGATAGAGATCTAAAGACTTCAGTTGATGCTGAATCTTTGTTGGAGAAGAATCGATCCAAAATAATCTAAAAGATTAAAAATAAAGAAAATGATGAAAATCCACTTTACACACCAGCTCAAATACTCAGTTTAATTCCAAAAACTTATAATAAAAAAAGGACAGTTATTATTAAACTTAGTTGAAACAAGTAAAAGTAAAATACATTGGGATAATGAAGGTACAGTCATAATTGTTAATGAAAAAATTCCTGGAAGTAATATTGTTGATTTAATAAATGATTCACTAAGACCCTTAAAAAGAAGTGATCCAGTAGGGTGGGATAGATTTGCTGAAGCATTAAAAGATATTAAAGTACCACTTACTTATATTGGAAATCCAAAGAGATGTGAGTTTATTAACCAACTTCAAGCAAAAGATCTGAACAAACCCTCTGAGATTGAATTTCAAGAGTTTTCTACACCGAGCAGTAGAGATTAAAAGTCTACAACTAAAATACGTAAAAGGCTTGAGTGGGAAAAATGGACCCCGTACTAAAAGAAATTAACAGGATTTATTATGATCCATCTAATCCCGCTGGTTTTGGTAGTATTGATAAATTATCAAAAGCCATGAAGTGTAAAATGAATAAAAAGCAAGTAAAGGAATGATTAAAATCACAAGAAACATACACATTACATAAACCCATTCGAAAAAAATTCCCGCGTAATAGGTACATTCTATCAAATATTAATGAACTGTGGCAAGCTGATTTAAGTGATATGCGAACTTATTCTCAATATAATGATGTTTTCAAGTATATACTTTGTGTTATTGATGTATTTAGTAAATATGCTTTTGCAAGACCAATGAAAAAGAAAAACTCAGAAACAACTAAAGGATGTTTTAGTTTATTTATTTATTTATTTATTTATTTATTCTCTCTCTTACATCTATCTTTACAGTTTCCTAATGCGATAGAGTAACTTATCCTAAGATTTAACAAAAATTATTACCTAAAATCAACAATAAGAATATAATAGAAGTAAATATATAATAAAAGTAAAAGCATTTCCTACCTAAATAAAATACTAACAAAAATTATTACCTACTAACAACAGATTATAAAAATAAAAAATAAACAAAAAATTACATAAAAAACCTAGATTTAACTATAACTTATTACATATAATGTGACCTTCGTGAATTCACTCAGAGTACAACAAAATATGTCAATTTTATCTTGGACTCTGTTTAGTGTTCTGAGTGCGCGCGTGAGCGGCGCGTGCTGCAGCAAGTTAGTCCTCGCGCGCGGTACCGCCAGCAGCTGCGGCCGGCGTCTGCGATATACGTACCGGTCTGGGACTCGGAGTGCCAACTGATCCAGCACGTCTGTGTTATGTACTCTGCCTATCAGAACTGTGTACAAATAGCGTGCAAGAGTAAATTCCCTTCTAACCCTGATTTCATTGTAACCTACCATACCTAATATGAACAATGTTGGATACATTAATGGATAGAGTGGATACACTCCATACAGTCGCATGTACAGGTATCTTAAAAATTTATTTTGTACTCGCTCCAGCATAAGAGTGTACTTGTTTTCGTGCGGCGACCAAATCATCGCATTGTATTCCAGTTGGCTCCTAACCAGTGTATTATATAATGCAGTAATAGCGTAAATATTTGTGAAATTATTAACTGTGCGTAGTATGAAACCCAAACTTTTGTAAGCTTTTTTACAACATTTAATGATGTGTTCACGAAAAGTTAATCCTGTATTCATACCCACTCCTAAATCACGAACTTCCTTGACCCTAGTCATGGGTACACAGTCTTCTATCATATAATTATGTACAATAGGGTTGTGGCTACGAGAGAATGTAATTGTGACACATTTTGAGGTGTTAAGCTGCAAGTTGTTTTCCTTGCTCCACCTAGTCACCCTATCTATATCACTTTGTAGCCTCGTGCAATCCTCCTTACATACTATAGGTAGGTATAATTTAAAATCATCTGCAAATAATAGGCATTTTGCTTCTTGGACCATTTTGGGGAGATCATTAATCATTATTATGAACTCCAAAGGACCTAAATTACTACCCTGGCTTACTCCAGACCTCGTGAAATATGTGTCTGATCGGTATCCTGCATATTCTACATATTGCTGTCTGTCTGTCATGTAGCTAGCAAAGAAGTTGAGTAAGTGTGGTGTAAAACCAATGCCTGCTAGCTTTCTGAGTAGGATATCATTATCTACAAGGTCAAACGCTTTTTTGAAGTCGAAATAGACTGCGTCGACCTGCCCGCCCGCGTCCACCGTCGGTAACACGTCCGCCATATACGCAAGAAGATTACTGCTTGTACTTCTATTCGGCCGAAACCCGTGTTGTGAATCCGATAATTGTATACCCATTTGATGATATACGCTCTTCTGTATAGCTGACTCAAATATTTTTGCTGGAGTCGACAGGACTGCGATAGGTCTATTACCATCCAGGTTTCCTTTGGCACCAGCTTTCGGTACTGGTACTACCCTAGTCGTCTTCCATCTTTCCGGAAATACTGCTGCTCTCAGGGATTGGTTATATATATGAAGCAAAGGCTTAGCTAGAACAGATCGGCAGTCTCTAAATATATACGGTGGTATACCATCTGGTCCTGTCGATTTCTTTGGCTTAAGTTGTTTAAGGGCGTGCTGTACCTCACTGAGCTGTAACGCGCTAAGGTGTACGCGTGCTGCCGCGTTCTCACTGCCAGCCACCTGTATCGCTGAATTTACATCTAATTTAGCCTTACACGGACTGTACACCGAATAGAAGTAATTGGCTAACTCATGTACTGACTGTTCATTCGTCAGAAGTTCACCGTTTTTATACATTTTCCGAGGACTTCTGTTGCTTTTTTTGGAGTTTATATACCTCCAGAAAGATATAGGGTTTTCCTGTAAATTACTTTGAACGATATGCTGATGGTGTGTATACGCTTCTCTTATGCTTTGTTTGACCTTAGCCCTAAATTGTGAAAAAACCTCGTAATCTAAACCTGATCTACTTTTCTTGTATACTTTATGAAGAGTAGCTTTTTGTTGTATTAATCGGATAACATCGGCGGTATACCACTCAGGATACACGTATTTAGACCTACTATAACATTGAATTTTTTTTGGAACACATTGTTCTAATATTTTATTAATAGACTCGTAGAAGTAATCTAAACTCATTTCTAAATTTAATTCATATATGGAAGACCAGTCTGTGGTCTCAATTAAATGATACAACAAAGGAAAGTTAGCTTTTTTAAAATGCCATTGCGGAGGTATTTTGGTGATGTTTGAAAATGTGTTTGACCTTGAATGCGCGATAGTGTCAGTGTGAGTAAGCGATCGCAAGCAAACAGTTACATCGAGCGGTGGATGTTGTACGTCGACCGGCACCAACGGCTGGGTCGCCCCGCTCACGCGCACACCATCTCCCCGCTCCTCAACCGTGCTCAATACTAGATCTAGACATCTATCATTACAATTGTAAATATTGTTACTCTGAATGAACCCACAATAAGTTATAAAATATTCAAAATATTGATTTACACTAAGTGGACAAGAGTACATATTGAAATCTCCTAACACTAAAACCTTGTCGTAACTGTTACATAGCTGCTCAATTATTCTAAACATTACCATATATTCACATTCACTACTATTAGGCGGTATATAAACAGCGCACAACAAAAACAAAAACCGGTTTCGAAGGTAGACAGTAGCGCAAACTATTTCGAATATATGATTGTCAATGTTTACATTGTCAGGTATCGTAATTCGTCTCAGTTCGAAACGCGGTGTGGCCACTAAAAACGCGCCGCCTTGTTTGCGTCCATCTGTTCGGTCACACCGAATAATACTATGACCTGGTGGGACCAGCTCACCGTCGTAAATCGACTCATTACAACCTGTTTCCGTAATGATGAATAAATCAGAATCAGATGAAGCAATAGCCAAATAGAAATCGCTTGTCTTCGTTCTAAGTCCTCTCACGTTCTGATAGTAAATTTGTATATTCTTACTATTTTTTGTCACTTTGTTGCTCACGGGTGTTTCGACGAAACCACACCCACTCGCAAAATTCAATATTTATAGGCCAGTGTTCTGGTTGGCATAATACGTTATATTTACTTTCAGGGAGTGCTATAATAAATGAAGAATAGTCTCTTTGAGTCTTATGTTTTATTTGGTCAATCTTTATGGGCACTTCATTTCCACAAATATTTTTAACATACTTTTGTAGGCTTTCAATTGTGGTTTCTGTGTCTAACCGCCAAACATGCAGGTACCTTTTTCTCTCTGATCCCTTAATTTCAGTTGAATTCGTACTTTCTCCTTTTTTTACTTCATCGTTGGGATATCTCTTTTTCTTGTTTACCACCGTCCAATTACTAGTTTCCATTTTATTTTCTTTTTGAATAGTAATATCCGTTAGATCATTTTGTGAATCTATCACAATACATTGTTTGTGCACAATCGGCTCCGTGGGTTTCATGGCCACACTTTTATTATCCGCTGCCTTCTTTTGAGTTTGTTTCTTTGCAACATTTGCAAACGTTAAAACTGACTTTTCCGGCTGCTGGACTGCTGACTGCTGACTTTTCTCCATATTACAAATTGATTATAGTTCTTCCTTTTTCTTTTCTAATATTTTAATATTAGCCTCTAAAAGATCTATTTTATTTACTTTTTCTTGAACTACCTCCAAAATCTTTTGTACTTTTTGTAATTCGTTTTCCGTAACAACAAATCTCTTTTGAAGTAGGTCGTACTCCTTTGCTTGTCTATCTAGTCGACAATTAAAATCATATCTCAACGCTCTTAACTCTTTCAGTATCTCATTTTCTACTACTATAGAATCAACGGTAGTCGGACCGCCGCCACCACCTCGCTTGATATTGACGTAGCTAGGTGTAACTGGTTCCTTATTCACTTGCTTGGGTCCTCGTACTGGCGTGTTCAAATTACCACCTTTAGGGATAATGCTCGTGCACTCTGGGCATAACCATTTACTTCCACTTTCCCCTGTGGTAGCCTCCAGCTTTTCCTTCCCCAATCCAAGACACGCAAGATGGTAAGATTTACCACAATTTTTCTCCGAACACTGCATCCTGAGATCATCACATATTACGGCATGGCAGCCGTCACATTTAGTGCCCATTTTTGGGCTCAAAACACTCAGAGTCACACACTTATTATTTATTTTTAATTCGATTGACTTGCAACACGTCCGTTCCGTACAACATTATTACGTTTACGTTACGTTTTGAAAGTATATTTACTGAAAGTGTCTACTAACATATAATCTGATAAAGGTACAGAATTTGTTTCAAAAGATGTACAAAAATACTTTAAATCCAAAAAGATTAATTACTATACCACTAACAATCCTGACATTAAGGCCAGTATTGTTGAACGATTTCAAAGAACACTAAAAATGAAAATGTGGCGTTATTTCACTCATAATAATACTTATAGATATATAGATGTTTTACAAGATTTAATATACTCTTATAATCACAGCTTTCACTCTAATATTAAGATGTGCCCATGTGATGTAAATTCCAACAATATTATGACAGTTTGGACTAATCTTTATGATAGACGATCAAACAAACTTTCTTTAGAAAATCCTAAACCAAATTGCAATGTGGGTGATTATGTTCGAATAACTAAATATAAACATGTTTTCCAAAAAGGATATGAATCAAATTGGAGTGATGAAATATTTATTATATCTTCAATAATTGATAGATCTCCATGGGTTGTTTATACAATAACAGATTTACAAAATGAACCAATAGTTGGTACTTTTTATGAAAGAGAATTACAGAAAATCACTTACAACCCCACCTCACAATATAAAATAGATAAAATAATTGACACTCGTTACTCAGGTAACAGAAAAGAAGTACTAGTGAAGTTGAAAGGTTATCCAAATAAATTTAACAGTTGGATTTTAGCTTCTAGTTTAAAAGAAATATGAATAAAGAAAATTTTTATTTAACTTCGCTCAGCAATAGTTCAATGGAATACTTTCCTGATAACAAGACCACAAATTCTTCAACGAAATTACCAAAAGCTATTAAATTAGAAGGTGAATGGTCGGTTGAAGTTGTCGAGTTTCAATATCCATGTAGCATTTTTACTGTTCAAGATCATGAAAATGTTATATACATTACAAAATCTATGTTAATGCTTAATGAAGATAAACCATCCATAGTGTACTACAAAAAACATATTCCAGCTACCAACTATGATAACGTTGAGCATATTTTAAGAGTGTTAAATGGTATCGGAGAGAACTTGAAATTTCGCTATGATGAAATAACAAAATTTGTGTCTATTTTTGTTTTAGATAAAAATATAACATCCGTAACATTATCACCCAAATTAAGTTTACAACTAGGTTATGAACCAAATAAAAATCTCCTAGAGAGAAATTTTGGAAAGTGTCCTGCTAATTTACACTTAGGGTTACCATCTCAACTATTTCTATATTGCGACATTATCGATCCTCAGATTGTGGGTGATGTTATGACTCCTTTACTAAGATTCATTTCATTAGATCCTACAAAATACATTTATGGTGCAAATAAAATGCACGTTTTCTCTCAACCTCACTACTTACCTGTTATGCGAAGAGAGTTCGATACGCTGGAAATAGTTATAAGATCGAAGACAGGACAAAAAATACCATTCCAGTTTGGAACCGTGTGTATTAAACTACATTTCCGAAAATTACAATAATGAATTCTCTTCGTGATCGTCATAAATGTCCATATGAAAATTATTATACACATCAAGCTGGGTCAGGAGTTGGAGTAATTTATAAGGGTTCACCATACCAACGCGGTCATGGTATTGGGAGCTTCTTAGGGGGGTTATTTAGATCAGTTTTACCTTTACTTTCAAGTGGTGCTCGAGTGATTGGTAAGGAGGCATTAAGCGCTGGAGTAGGACTTTTATCGGATATGGTTCAAGGGCGTCCTATGGAAGCCTCAATAAAAGATCGTTTAAAGCAAGTTAGTACGAATTTAAAACGAAAGGCTGATGAGAAAATTGATTAATTTAACATGACAGGATCTGGGAATAAAACTAAAAGAAAACGATTGACCTCGTTCATTTCACCATTAACTGCTAAAGTAAAAGCTGCGAAAAAGCTTGGTCTAAAACCAAAAAATATCAAAGATATATTTTTAAATTAAATATGTCTTTCCTTCGTAATCATTCTTGCGAGTGCGTTAAGTCAGAATTGGATTTGTTTGCACTACCGTCTACACAAACTAGCATTGAAAATGGATTGTGGATTCATTATAAACAACTTTCATCTCTTGGTAATGATGGACCTATCGAGTTTCAAGTTCCTGGGACAGACGATGACTACATAGATTTGCCTCATACATTACTCCACATAAAGGCAAAAGTATTAAATCAAGATTCAACTAACTTGATATCTACTACAATAGTAGCACCTGTAAATAATTGGCTGCATTCACTTTTTAGTCAACTTGATGTTTATTTAAACCAAAAACTTGTATCACCACCTAATAATACCTATGCATATCGGGCATACAAGGAAACCCTTTTAAACTATGCTCCTGCTGCTAAACAATCTCATCTTACTTGTAGTCTTTGGTATGATGATACAGCAGGAAAAATGGATTCTACGGATGGTAAAAACATAGGATTTGTTAAAAGACAGGAATTGATTAGTCACAGTAAGGAAATAGAAATGATTGGTCATCTTCACGGTGACATTTTCAACCAAGATTAATTTTTAATTAATGGTGTTGAAATGAGTGTTAAATTGGTTCGATCAAGAGAGAGTTTTAATTTAATTTCCGGGTCAAACGATGTAAAGTTTAAAGTTTGCATTACGGACGCAACTCTTATTGTTCGACGAGCACGAATTAATCCAAGTGTATTACTCGCACATCAAAAAGTTTTAGCTTCTACCACTGCTAAATATCCTATTACTCAAGCTGAAGTAAAAGTTTTAACAATTCCATCGGGTGTTCAAGGAAAAACTCTTGATAATATATATTTTAGTACAGGTACCCAAAAGATGTATAATTAGATTTGTGAAAAATTCTGCATTTAATGGTTCCCTTACTAAAAATCTATTTAACTTTGAAAACTATGGTATTAATTCTTTCAGCTTCTATATTGATTCCCCTCTTTTAATAATAGCATATTTACATCAGCATATCATACTCTATTCCCGGGAACTGGTATTCACTTTCTTAATGAAGGCAATGGAATCTCTTGTGAACAGTATGCCAAAGGTTACTGTCTATTAGCATTTGACTTAACTCCTGATTTATCAGCCAACTCATCAGCTCATTGGAATCTCATAAAGCATGGTAGTGTAAGATTAGAAGTACAATTTGAATCCTCACTAATACAAACAACTAACTGTATAGTTTATGCTGATTTTGATAATATTATTGAGATAGATAAAAACAGAAATGTTACTGTAGACTATAGTAGTTAAGGTTATAATATGTGCTGTGTGTTAGATTTTATGAGTTATGTGTAATGCATTTTGTGTGTACGTAACTATGTGAAACGTTATAAAATTAAATAAAACAAATTGTATGCAATATATTATTTTTTATTTCTTTATAAATATTCTATTTAATCTAATACAAAACTCTGTTCGAGTTTAAATTTTACATAGGCACACTGACTAAACCATTGAACATGCTGCTGCCAAGGATCATCATCATCTTCCCAATCTTTTAAACCACCACCACAATGGAAACACTTGGTCCTGTCTGCATGGCCAGTATAAAAGAAGCCGGCTTCTGCAAGAAATTCAGGTTTCTGTCGCATAACGAGAGGCCAGTTTTCGAAACTGAGCAACCGGCTAGATTTTGAACTGAAGAATGGATATTCAGCTCTTGAGTACTGCATATTCTTCTCGTTTTCTTCTTCACTCAGTGTTGTAGTTTTGTTATTCAATGATGTGTCCTGTACACGTATGCCACACTCATCTTTCTGCTCTTGTCTTCCTGTAATTTAAGTAAACAGAATCACATTCACTAATGATCAGATAATGAAGAATGTCATTGTTAAAAAAGTATTTTTTAACTTTTTCACTTTCTGCTATTGTCTTTGTAATATTGTATACGATGGTCGTGTTGTCGTAGATGCTATCCTTATTAGTCTTTACGTAATATTTAATCCTCGTAACTACAACACGACATTGGAAACATGCTTCCATGTTTCCAATGATCAGTAGTTGGAATCTTGGATAGCTCCTTCATATCGTACATTTCAATTTTGATGAGATGCGTCGCTTGGTCTCCGTCGTCAGAATTAGTAGAAATGTATGATGCACCATCTCTAGCGGCTCGTGCTACGGTTGGTGATAACAGCTTCCTCTTTTTTATTTTTGATTCAGCTTCAAAAAATAATCAATCGATTGCGATTTTCTTTTTCCACCATCGCATGTGTTATTGTTAATGACGATGTCATCACTCTCTTCTTGAGGGGAGAGTGGCGAATAGTAATACCGTTTATAGGTATTTTCATCGAAGCTCAATGATTTCTGCAACAACACAGTTATCATGTTAATATCAATTTGTTAACACTTAATCATAAAAGTTAAAAAAGAAATGTTCGCCGCGCTGCCTCAATGCGTGTTGGCAAACTTCACATGCCTCCGAAATTTTATCAGACATGCAGGTTTCCTCACGATGTTTTCCTTCACCGCTGAGCACGTGGTAAATCAGCACTTAAAATTGCAATTAACAATTTAATTAGTGCCGGCGGGGATTGAACCTAGGTCGCGTACTATGAAATTTACAGTTTGCGCTAACCATCTGAGCTATCACGGCTTAATCATATACATACATAATATTTAAATATAATTTGTTAACACTAAATCATAAACACGTAAGGAAAATAACAGAAAGAAAAGTAAGTTTGTCAATAGAATAAACACTTACATTCACG